CATACCTTGCTGCATATGAAAAAAAAGCCAGTCTAAGCAATCAGAAATAAGGGAGGGCACACTGAATATTAGACTGTTAACATGTCAAATCATGGAAATGCAGTCAAAAAAGTTCAACCAAGGTATCAAGGTTACACATTGAAAAGAAACATAAGTTGCCATGATTGATTGGTATTAGTTTGGTTTTCCTTCAGGTTATATGCATTTTCTATGGGTGGTCCTAAATTTTTGCAAATGACTGTACATGTACATGTACAGTACAAATACCGGTAGGCCTATGTAATGTACATTATCACATGGCACTGAGATTATCACATGGCACTGAGATTATCACATGGCACTGAGATTCTGGCCAAACTTTGCGCCACAGGCATGTCACCTTTGCCAAATATGACAGTGACACACATGTACACGTACACTGTTATTTTACACATGTACATGTATGTCAAATGCCATGTGTTAGGGCATGCAAATGAGCTAACAACAGGGCAGGACATGCAGTTTTCAAATTGTGGTTTTCATTATCCACTTTTGAGCCCTTTATTCCACAAAAAGAAAAGTAAACCAGAAATGTGTTTTCCTCTGACAGCACAACTTTGACCCAAATGTATACATGTACATTCATTAACCTCACTGAGCAAACACTGGTAAATTACATGTACCATCAACAAGAAATACAAGCCAGACAGCCCTATATACTGGCACTTCTCTTTTCCATATCAAATTAAACAAGCATACAGTGCCTAAACTCCCAAACCACACAGAATATACCTGTCATCACAGCTCACTGAAACAATACAAAAAGCAATTGTGCTTTTGCTGTTAGTTTGTTGACAACACACAATTAGGGAGAAAAACCACAAGATAAGGATGTGAACATGGATGTGGTAATGCATAATCGGTTTGTTGAACACATTGCACTCAATACAGAGCTATGGCAACTATCAGTGGCTTTTCATGGGTTTTCTTATTTAAAAAGTATAGCAGTAGCACAGGTTTGGTGGCAACAAAAGTTTTCGTTTTGTTGGATACAAGTACTACATTTAATTTAATGCTTTGTGAGGAATCAATGAGAACTGCAAATGGAAAAGATACCTTAGATACTGCACAGAAAAATCTGAAATTGACAAGACTGGCCTGTGGATTAGAATCACATACTGTACACTATCCAATTGCACGTACAAAGATTTTGTTTTACAGTAAATAAGAAAGTCAAATTTTATTGCTATAAAAGCTTTGTCATTGTATACATGTACGTGCACACATGTATACATGCTCCATTATTTACGGAGTGAACCAGTCAAGATTTCCTAGCCCAAAACAGCTGTGTCATGATGTGTACTGGAGTCAATTTTTGTGGTCAGGGTCAACCAAAAAGGGACATGCTCAGCTCCGGGAACCGAGAAAGCATCAGACAGAAGTGGGAGCATATACAACCCATACTATACACTTGTGTACAAGGGGTGGGTGTACCTTTGTTTGTTGCCTGGTAATGAGGGCAAATACATGTACGGGTACATGTTTCACCTGTTTACAGAGACTGAGTATCTATAAGGATTCCAACTTGTACTTGTCTGACTTGTTGACAAATACATGTATGCATGCTTACACTGTACAATATGTACTGTAGCTACAGTGCGTATTCTACACATGATCTCACTGGTCATGAAAACCACATGACAGGTAGAATTTCAGAGAATTCACCCGGAGTTAACCATGCCAAATCTAACACGGTTGTACAGTAAACTTCCAGGAGAACAGCTACATGTACTGTCCAAACACAATCTGTTCCAGATTTTTGACCTTCATAAAACTGTAAAGCAGAGGGGCTGGGGTGGAAGGGCTAGAGGAAGGGGAGACGCCGACACCACTTTTTATGAAGGTGCTGTTCAAAGCAGATAATATTGGACAGATGGTGGCCGCCTTCATGGCACTTTATCAGAGCTGTACATTGAGAGAGTAGCCTTTTCAGACTATGGAACCAAAATGGCTGTACACTATGTGTGCAGTACAGCATGCAGCTATTGTCTGCTCATTGTCCATGTGCACTGACACATTTATAATCTGCCATTTTGGTGCCAACAATTGAGACATTCACACTGCAACTCTCTCTGTGAACAGCTCTGCACTATATGTTGGCTGAAAAGGGTACTTGATGTCAACCCTCAACATCAAATTTTTTTCAGACATGTGGCATTGAATACTTACTTGTTAAATGAGTAATTGTACTTGCCCAGTTGATATTTGCCATATCAGGCCAAATTTCACAGCCCTGCTAAGCACATGATTTTACATTAATAGACGGCTGTAAATTTCATGAAAACCGTAAGCAGTAAGAATGTCAAAAGGCATAAGGTAGAGGGTTTGTGGATACACCATGTGGAAAATACATGTATCTCTTTTGAGTATGTGTGGCTCTGAAAAGAACCGGTCACTCGACGTTTCGGGCAGTGAGTGCTCTGTCCATCTTCAGGACTCACTGCCCGAAACGTCGAGTAACCGGTTCTTTTCAGAACCACACATACTCAAAAGAGATATTTTCCACATGGTGTATCCGCAAACCCTCTACACATACCTTATCGTATTCCACCATGCAAACCTTCAAGAGCTAGTCAAAAGGCATGTTTACCTTGGAGGAAAAATTTGCTTACTGTAGTGATAAAACAATAGAATTCTCTGTGCGCATACGATCATAAGCACAACCATGCCAAGCACTACTATGAAATAGTGCTTAAGGTTAGCAAATTTTTCTACATTAGTAAGCACAACTTTTCTGGTAACTGTTAAGCAACTCAATGAAAATTGGTCTTTAACCATAACCAAAGCCCTGACATCGGACCCTTTTCAATTGCATGCACAGTACTATACGTGATGAAAGTTGTGTGTGCAAACCAATGGGATTTGGTACCTTGACACATGGTTATTTTACAATTCATCTTTTATGCATGTTTCTTACTGTGGAAAGGTGCCCTGCTAAAAATGCAAAACGTGCATCATGTCAACCTCATCCCCAGATGTTACTTTTTTTCTCACAAAGAATCCAATAGTAACAGCTGGGGGGGTGCACTGCTCAACACCATGGGGACAAGGTTGGAATCATCGGTACGGCCCATAATCCCAAAATTTCGGTACATTTTGTACACGACATGCCTGCTCTGGAGACTCATGGAGGCAGCACGCATGGTGCATGAATTATTTTGCGAATGAATTGTACTCAAAGCATATTTTAGTGTGTAGAGAGGAAAAAAGTCAAAGGCAGATTTTCCAACTGCTCTTTTTGGCCATGCCAAACTGCACTTTTCAGGGCAAAAGTACCTGTTCATCAGACATGTTCTGAAGATTTAATTGCCCAAGAGAATAAATTACTTGTCCCTGGCAATCGGACAACTGATAATGTCAAGGTGTACTTGATGCTATTGATGTTACTTTGAGCACATGTTCACAGTGCCTTGCAGGGTGCTAGAACAGTAGAAAGCACCCAACAAGTTCTTGTGGGGCACCCCGCGAGAATTTCACAAAATATATTTAAAGTTTCCATGTTTTTGTTTTCTTTATTATTTTTGTTATCTTAATTGGAATTTTTCTTGGAATTAGGATGCAGGGAGGGGACAAATAACATTCTAGGTCATGCTACATGTAAGTGAGCGACTAACCTTTTCTGCACATTCCAGCAACTAAACATTTCTGAAATCGGCAGTATTGGCAGAGAAGCCTTGAGGTTGGAGTCACATCACAAGTCCCAGATGATTGACACTTGAAGTTGGGCATTCCTTTCTTAGTGCTCCGAATGAAGAAACTCTACCAGACCCAAAAAAAATTATACACAGATTTTAAAAACTGATTTACAAATTACTCCTGAACATTAGAGGTCCCTCGCCAGAAATCCTTCCTCAGAACTTTCCATGTACTCCCAAATCAAGTAATGCGTGAAAACGGAAAATGGACACATCATTACTGGTCATGTTTGCATTTAAAGGGCTAGTCCAATGCATGTGGAATTTCAGTAAACAGACATTAGGAACTGTCATGCCATTTGGCAAAGCACTCGAGTTCAAAGTTCAGAATGTTACCTAAAACCTAGGACGACATGTACTTCCTAGCGAAATACCAATGTACATGCGTACAGGCATATACCAAGAATTTGTCACCCAGCAAAAACAGCTCATGTGACCATCATATTGATATAATGCACAACACAAGATGTCCGTGGGCTTTTGTGTGTAATTTCACTCGCTTCCCCTGCCCCATGACAAGCACCAGCAGCTGGGCTTTACCTTTCTCAATGCAAGGAAATCCTTCCTAATGACATCTCACAAATGCACCCAATAAAACCTTCCCATTTGCACAAATCATTACGGGGGATCAATGACAAAAACACCCAAATAAATCGGACAAGCATTGAATGGACAGTGTTCCACACAGTATCGTACACTTATGATAACATGAAACATAATCGTGTAAAAATAGGTTTCTACTAATTTACTATAAATTGGAACAAAATATATTTGAAATTAATATGAATAGCAGTTAAAATGACACTAATGCTGAACAAAGGCCATGATACTTGAATTGCATGTCGGTCTGATGAGGACAGTACCGGTATATGTGTACGTCCAGCAACATACCTTGCAGGCCTCACATATTTGAGCTCCGAAGTACCGGCCAGTTGCCTGGTCCCCACAAACAGCGCACATGACCTGCCTGCAACTACTGGAGACCTTGGGGGACTTTGTGCACGTATCTCGGACAGAACTAGAAGGCATGCTCACTAGGCTCTCAGAAGTTGTCGTGGTGACCAACTCATCTTCCATTTTGCTCCGGGGGATGGGGGCGGGGTGTTAGAGCGGGAGAGGCTCAAATCAGCTAGGCAAGGACTGTTGTGCTGTCAAGCCCTTGTAATTGACAGAGTTCGTCACAGACCTTGGAAACAGAAGAAAGGAGGTAAGGAGAGGTCAACAAGAGAACTTCTGAAAACTGGATGACAAAACAATGTATTACCCACCTTGAACAATGTGATCAGAAATACACATGTACATGTAGTTATAAAAACCTCTGTGAGTCTGCTATGACAAGGAAAGTTGTAGGGCTAAATCCTTTTCTTTATTGTTTTCATTCCTGATCAGCAAGTTTCCTGTTATAACAGGAAAATCTGCGAAGTCTGGAAAACAAGGTTCAACTGTACAAACACTGACTGATTCGAGTGGTGTAGTAAAACTACTGTAGCCTCCTGAGGTGATCCATGGAGAATTCTATTTTCCCTAGCGAGGGAAAATGGAGTGCTCTTTGGATCACCAAGGGAGGCTGGTTTTACTCTACCACAGTCAATATTTGATTTATAACACAGTCCATATTTGATTTATACCACTGCTCTCACAGATTCTGCTTAATTTACTATGTACGAAATAACTACATGTAATTAATATGATCAATCTACATCAGGGCTTAGTTTTAAAGGAGCGCGATCGCATTCACGCTCTTCCGTGCTCCTTAATGTTTTAAAAATTTAAGAAGTGCATGGTTTTTCAAACTAGCAGATGTTTATTTATGACAAGCCCCTTGAATCTCGTTGGGTCGACAGTAGCAAACGAGTCTGAAAATTGAATGTACTAAACACAAGGGCTGGTGATCAAAGTCTTTGAGTTGTGCGTGCGTGCTTGATGAATCCCGCATTGCAACACACAAACATGATAGCGCATGAGGGCGGGCCTAGTGCCTGTGGGAGAGCCTATGGAATTCCATGGACGCACGTGGCCACACCTGGCCGACCTCTCTCCCAGAACGGGTCGAGTTCAGGCGCTACATTCTCGGGTGTTTGTGAACAGCAGAAGTGAGTTTGTGAAAAACCCTGTAGTGGCTGGAGATGGTGTGTGATTCTGTTGCGTGTTCGTGTGGTTCAAGCGTGAGAACAACGTTCGCTTGTCGAGAACAGAAAGTATGCCACAGGAAAGAAAACAGTCTCTGGCGGGTAATGTGCCCGGTGTTCTATACGAAAATGCACTGGTCAAAGTAGTATTGTGAGCGCAGGAACGGATGCATGATGAAAACAATCTGCAGTGGACGTGCAATACGTTTTAAAATACCAAAAGGACAGGATGCACACGAGCAGTAAATTCAGAGCCCCTGTAGCTGCGAAATGGATTGTAGGGTGAGCAAGGAGACTAGTCAAGTTAATAACTCATTAAACTCAGTAAAAGATGTTAAATTGTGTTAATTTTATTGAGTATGTTTACATTAACTTGGTTTTTGTTAGCGAGAGTCATGCCTGCAGTTAAATGGATACATTCCAATAACACAAAACACTCTTCCTTCTTATCCTACATGGCAAAAGAATTCATGAATTTGTGTGACAATCCAGACACAAAGAACAAGTTAAACATGCCGTCAATCAATCAGAGTATTTTGAGCAGGAACATCTACTGAATTATTGACTGATATGGAGTGAGCAAACTACAGTGTACATGTACATGTACTTCACATCACATCAGCGTAAGACAGGAATACAGTCCATGTAATTGGACAGTGCAAAATGAGGATTTACATGTACATGTACCTGTATTTACATGTACATGTACCTGTATTTACATGTACATGTACTTGCTGCATTTAAATGAAGTAATGTTTTAGATTCATACAAGAGAAGGAATACACGTATATGTAATTTCATTTCATGACAGATGGATCATTCCATTTCTTTTGGCACACATACATGTATCATGTGCATGGTGAATCATTCCATCCAATTAAATTGTTCTCAACAATATACTGATAAATATTACAAATTCATAATTTACATGCAAACAATCTCAGAACACACAGTTTTTCCCAATCAGGATACAGTGACAGTTTATTGCACATGAGCTTCAACACCTGTTGAATGAAAATTGAGAAATTAATGTGTATGGAGACATGTGCACATACATACAGTATGTACATACGTGCATGCAAAAATCTGTACCATCAAAATATGTGTGCAAGTGGCATGTTCCCAGGTCAGCACCACCTTGTTGGTTTTTATGAGTACCATGGTGCACCCCGGTCCCACACACAGCACCTACGTACATGTACATGTACCTGCCACACAGATGCCAGTACCCCAATCATACAATACATGTACATGTATGTGCATGGTTCCTTTAGGAACGAACACATAAACATCGTACCGGTACTTATTGTGCAAGAAATTCAGTTAATTAATTATAATGGAAATCTTTTTGAACACGAATTTTTCATACATGTACGTTGTAAGTATGACAAACAAATGAAATATGGGCAGAAAGTCCAGAAACTTACCGCAATAAACATCCACCGATGTTTCCAATGACACCACCAGTACCTACATGTATGCCTACTTAACAGCACACACAACCTACATGTACATTCATGTACATGTGTACATGTACGTGTGCCACTCACACAAGTGTTTGATATGTGTAACCAAAGAGGGCAAAGAGGCGTTCTGGTACAAAGTTCAGTTCTTATTCAAACCTTGGCTAAAAGATCTTGTATTGGTAGGACTTATCTTCAGAAATACTATAGGCTATCAATCCTGACCCTCAGCTGACTGTAGAGTAAGATAAACCCGCTGCAAATGAAACAAATCACTCAAGTGCAGTTTTCACCATAAGTACATGTACATGTAACTATGGCACTGTCTAAGTTCACCAATACCATCCTTCTGACCATTAACAAAGCATGGAGATTAACTTCTCAGTTCAAAGCTGCAGTGGGATTTAGAAGTGAAAACATCTTGGAAACATTAGCATGTTTCCATGGCAACGGTGGCAAATTATTTCTAATGACCGAAAACACTCACACACAATAAGACCTTGAGAATGCACAAGTGACGTACATGTACGTGTATACGTCCATGTTTTCTGTGAAATTATGCAACTTCACAGTAATAGATGCCGAGAGGCAATGTTTCAGAACAGGTTTGTGGTCCTTCAGAAATACATGTAATACAACTGCATGCTTGCATCCATGCATCTAAAGACTTCCCCAGGGTGCACGAGATGTTCCTCCCTTCGTTATGTGAAGATACATCACTTTTTATTAGCAATACTAACTGCATGGGGATGATGCATACTTAGTACTGTACTCTGCACGTACATAGTGTGAGCAGTTAGCAATGCAGCATACATGTACTTCATGAACAGAGCGAAATGCAACTGGTTGGCATGGATGCATTGTTTGTTACACTCCTGCAGTATTTTCATTGGCCTAGAGTGATCATGTTACTGGTCTACAAATATGCATGTTACCCTCATCTGTAGCGTATCACATCAGCTGTGACAGTGTGAGCTGTACCAGCTCTCACATCACTGGTATCCACACTATTTCCACATGTATTGGACATGTACTGTTTACAATGGTAAACTGTGGTTAGATCAGCAAATCAGCATACCCATATGATCAACTTTAATACATGTATCACTTACTGAATTTTGTTAATTTCTGTTGCATACTGTAGGCCTACCAGTACATGTGTATGTCTTAGACTCTTTGCAATATCTGAAGTACATACATGTACTTTGTACATGTAGAGACATTACACATACCGGTACATGTACCGGGTACGTACATGTACATGACACTGTGGCGTCATCATGAATTCATTTGCGACACTCATTAGACAACACTGGCAAATTGTTTTCAAAAGCATAAATCTGACTGGATACCGATACAAAACAAAAACCCCAAATGACATAAACATTCACGCATATTCAGGAGTCCCCCCACATTTTTTTCAACAAGCATTCATGCAGAATTGATCACTTTTATTTCTGCTTCACTGAACATGAGTTCAAACAGCACAACACTGACCTACTCCTGCATGCAAAGAAAACTAACTCAAAATAATACCAGCAGGTGCACACAGGAACCCCCTCTTACAGTATTGAATCTGCAGTGATTGAATTACAAAATATGAACAGAAAAGAATAGTATACCAGATACTGGTACATGTACATGTACCAGTAGTAAGAAGGAAACACCTGTCATTCATCAGTGCACAAATACATGTATTACAGTCTGAAAGCCTTACAAGTGCTACAAGTGTACTGGTTTATTAATGAAGACATCTTGGAACATAATTCAGTATGAACTCGCTCAAACTCACTCATTTGGCTCCAGTGTGAAAAGGCCCTTTAACTGTAGTTGTTAAATACATTTATGAAATAAGTAGATGTGCATGTACATGTACTAACAAGATTTGACGCATCCATTCACAGGACCCCATTTTCTTTCATTATCTTTTTCAGTCAAACAGATGTTCAATCAAAAGTGAGAAAGAGGAAAAGACTTCAGTTGCCATAAACCACGGAATGAATCCAATATTGGAAGTCACGCACCGGAACAAATGGTCTGGAAAGAGTTTTCCATTCCAGTCCAAATATTACTTTTAAAGTTAATCTTTAGTTTAAAGGTTATTTTTGCTCAGATGACCCTATTAGTTATCACAAGAGTGTGAATGGAACACAAAATAATGTAGTGCAACTGTGCCCCATATACAGAACAAAGGCGCTCTACATTATTCTGTGTTCCATGAGCACGTGACAACGAATTTACCTTCAAGCAAACTTGACGGGCTGATGCACACAAATGTGACTCCTTTGAATTCACAGTAAATTTTGCAGGGGCTTGTGCATTTTACTTTTAGCCTAAAAATAGGGCATTGCATCAAGTTAAAATAGCACATGACATGTACGTGGGGTTGGACATCTACCGTACAATTTGTCACACTGTTCCCATGAATCAACCAATCAGAACTGAGAATTCAATTTTGCCAGAAGATAACTGTTCATGTACACTGTAGTGCAGAGAATGTTGTGTCTCTCTGAACAAACCAAGCTACTCAAATTAAAATGAGCACAGCAGTTTCAGATCTCTTACAGTTCGAGAAGTAACGTCAGTGTAACTAAGCCTTTTTCGAGAGCTGTTTACTGTTTCAAACTTTCAATATCTATTAGCTTTCAATGGTCAGAATAGATTTTTGGAAACTGCTTGAAATTTCTGGTCATCGTTTGTAGAGAAGTGCGAAAAGGCAAAGGTCTGGTTTCAACCTTCAAACTTAATTTTCATTTCTAGATGGGATATGTCTGTTTTAGTAGAAACACGGGGAGATCATGTGATAGTGGTTTTTGATTTGATGACATCACAGAATTTGGTGCATGTCATTGGAAAATCTAGTTGATGTCATTACTCATTGAAAAATGCAAGATAGTATCTCCAAAGTACATGTACAGTGTAGGGTATTAAACGATGAATACTGAGGAAACTGATCATCTCCATTTCAACAGTCCCTTCAGTAACTTCTGGGATGCCTTCATAATTTTTTCAACTCATAAAGTTATCAGTGTTTACTTTTGTCCACTTTCAAGGAAGTACTATTTATGGATAAACAAATCTTAAATGTTAAAAACTACCTTAAAGTGCAAGAGGGTACCCCTTTCATGTAATGATATCAGTCGTCCTTTTGCAGTGCTCAGCTTATCCTTCTCAGCATTTTAGTAATTTGATTGGGAATATAAAAAAATTCCCAGTTTCTGAGTTAATTTAATGAAACATTTACAGCATTTCCAGCTGTCCCACAAATCAAGGTCACATGCCTTTCCACTGCGACGTACATGTTTGCATCCATAACGGATGCACAAAATTTTTTTTAAATATCTTCTTCTTACTCAAATCCAGTCTGCATCCGTGGGTACACGTACGCGTGGGAGAAAGAAAATATTACTAGAAAACATTAGACGATTGGCACAGCCTACTTGCTTTAAGTTTGATTATCTGTGACGCAGAAACACAGAAAAAGTTATAAATAATCAAGCTTGAATTGAAATATAAATCTAACTATCCGTGCACGATGAGGTTCATTTCTTCAAATTCTTTCGTCAATTGAAAGCTGTGTGGCAACTAATCTGATATTTCTGTGCTTTGTTGATGGGTAATACACATTTTTTTACGACAGACAAGAAAGATGAACGTGTCATTTCGTGTCATGTCAAAACAAATTTTCTTCAAGTTTGCCTGTAACAAGCAGATCACTGGCCAAGGCAGATTGTGCAAAATGTACCCCTGTGTTACTTTATCTAGGATCCAATGGATGTGACACACTTTCTCAGCTTTCTCTGCATGTAGGCCTACATGTACAGTGTATGTATCTACCTGACGCATTGCACCTGTCAACCAAGTCAGTAACTTGGTTACTGAATCGAAAGTCACACACAAAAGCATTCTCCAACAAGCAAAAATGACCCATGAATGGACAACATTTTAAACAACCAATGACAAAGTGAACACCTGTTTTGTCAAAATGACATGCATGAGTGGTTTCTGTATGGGGATGCCATCCTTACCGACTATGCATACACATTATTGGAAAGTAATGATTTTGACTTCTTAATTTCGTCCTGTGACGTTGATTTCTGCGTAAAACTTACGGATC